AAATGTTCACTAAATGACTCCACAGGACTTTCTGCCAAATTGAGGTTCCGTTTAGGAATAATGCATGTATTAAATTAGCACCGAAATCAAATTTGACATATGGCTAGGATTACTGGAATTGTGTCTTGTAGCTGCAATGAAGTTTGTCTCTGTGTGATGAATGTTTCCTGGCTTCAAGAGCAGTGCAAACACTGAGTTCATTTAGCTCTGTTAGCTAAATGAGCCAGTCCCCATTATCCTGTTGTTGGCAGGATTGATGGTGTTGAGTGTGAAAATGATCTGTTGTTCTGGAAACTTTGGGGCCTTTTGTTTGGATGTAATAAAATATCCACATTCTTTTTTTAATATATTTTTCATAATGCAAGAAGTAATGAGCAAACATGGACTTCTTAATATAGAAGAACTCAACTCTAGTCATCCAAGTAGTTTGGTTTTATTTGCAGAGGTTTTGAGGCAGAATACATCACAGAAATTTTTGCCTGCATATCAAATCAGACGAGTCTTCACTTCAGCCTCGCAACACTGAAAAGTTACTTTCATCTGAATTGTACAGTGTAGGCAGAACTTTTAAAATGCACCCTGCATATCTTAAAAAAAATACAAAAAAAAATACTGTTTCCAAAAACCTTGTGCTCCTGCCATGAATTGTAAGACATTTAAATCCAGAGCAATTCATAATCTGCCAGTCTGTCTCCACTTTACTGTTTTTAAGCCTTCTAACAGAGGATGGAACCTGACTGCAGGCATTTGGTTCTACTCAGCCATAAGAGCATTAGTGAGGTCGACCTGCGGTCAGCAAACTTGCTCACAGCCAGCGTTCAGTTCCCAGAGGTCTCGCTTGGGGTGGAGGTCACGGCTCTGTGCAGGTCGGTCAGTTTTAGCCACATTAAACTTGGACAAGCATTACATTACTGACCTGAATTTGTACACAGGTACATCATCACATAGATAATTCCCCAAGTGGAAAGCACTTTTTTTTTTGGTGAAAAATATCGTTACAGGATGAGCCTTAATGAGCGCTAAGAAGCTCAACCAAAAACAAGGACCACAACATCTCCTTAAGAGCCAAATCCCACCAAGTTGTTAAAACAAACTCCAACCTGAGCTGCAAGGATGTTCACGCGCACAGCAGAAAGGGCAAGCGGTGATTTCTGATTTTATAAGCCTTTTTCTTGTCCTTTGGAAGCTAAATTTGTACTAAAGGTAAGTACATCAGACTAATATGGAAGTGAAGCTGGGAGGATGGTACGCTATATAGCGTGAGATATGACGTGTAGGCTCAAGGTCTTATCTGTGGCCTCAGACGGGGAATACGAGTCACAACGGCACAGGAATGGATGGTCGGTGAGTGGCTGTCAAATACTCCTCAGACCTCCTAACAGACTCCCTTAACCCCTTTTCCTTTATTTTGTCCCACCTTGTCTCACTAAGGTGCCTGAATAATTACTCCTGCAGCTGCACATGCGCACAAATACAACTGTGCACATGCAGGTTGGCTTATCTGCCACAGGCTCTTGATGCTCGCTGCACCTTAGTTACTGCCAAAGAGTTAAGAAATAAAAGTGTCTGTAAAGAAAAATGACAGCCTCTCACCTATTTTTACCCTCAAGCTGGAAAAAAAACGACAACAGCCTGAGGGGTTGGCAAATATCCAAATGAGCGTTTGCCTGAAAATAAAGGCTCATTCGGAGACATCGTCTCGGAAATAACTTTAGTTTAACTGCTGTTTCAGTTGCAGTCTTAAGTCAGGAGGCTATGGGGGCTGTGACGAACCTTTGGACAGAACTAGAATGTCTGAAGTAAAAGAAGAAAATGTGATTAGAAAAGATTGGCATTACTTTTGGCACGAGATTAATGTGTGCGGTATTAAAAACAACAACAGCACAATGGAGTGTTGGACCTTTATCAGGCTCAGCGTGAGTCTCTTATTTCTGCTTTCCGCGGCTCGTTTTATTGAACTGTCATGACTCGTGCGTTTCCTGGGCTTGAAGGGCTCGTTTTAAATTAGCCTCGAACGTTCAATGGCAGGATCACTGAAGCAAGCCCACTCAATATCACATGGCCCAGCGCCTTGTCTTTAAAGGATAATGAAAAATGATAAATGACAAGCTGAGGCCAGTCGTCCCCAAGCAACACCTGTTCTTTTCTAGTGACAGTACAATACAAAACAATGCACCGCCACTGGAGCCCCTCCCACCTTTAAGGAACAAGTCGCTACTGGAAAGCCGTAAATTAATCCATTCTCCCTCAAGCATCCAAGCCATTAATTGGGACCAATTTATTTACAAGATAGCATGGAACGTGTGAGGTGGCTAACATTAGTTAGTCCGGTATATCAGAGTGAAAATATATTGGACAGATACGGGTCTGTTAAAAAGAACAGATACCGACCAGTCCCAGCTGATGTGATAAAAGCCGGCGTCTGATTCTGCTTCATGGCCTCAGTCTGTAAAATCCGTAATCAAACCTGCCTCACTTGACCTTCAGGAGCTGCTAAAGTGCTGCAAAGGATTTCATTAGTCTGAATGGATATGATAGTTTTACTATTCAATGAACAAAAGACACTTCTGCACAGAATGGATTCTTGAAATAGAAGGAAATTAATGCGGTCATATTTAAAGGGGACGTGTTACGGAGATTTCCAGCTTCGTACTTTTTATTCTTGATTCTACCTGAGCAGCTTCATGTGATTCACGGTTCACAGTAATCCTTTTTTTGGATGTTCATGAGGCTGTTAGAAACAAGCTGTTTTAGCAAACTTTTGGTTGACTGACTGGGGAACATTACTTTGCTGCAACATGGCCTGAAAAGCACCGTCACATAATTACCGTATTTTCCGCACTATAAGGCGCACTTAAAATCCTTATAATCCGGTACACCTTATGTATGAATTCTGGATTTTATGTGGTACACGGCGCTCAAAATTCTGTCAAAAAATGTTTTAGTACGACTTTGGTAGGCTACGAAGCCGCACCGCTTGATGGATTGTCGGAGCATTACAGCTACCGTAGTCAGGAGCTTTGCGAAGTAATCTGGGTCCAAAACTCCGTCCGCTTCAGATCCCAAAGTCAAACGAACACTGCGACATCACTGAGAGTTAAAAACTATCTAAATTCTTGCATCTTCAATAAAATGATCAGTGTTGCTGCTTTACCAGGTATAACAATTATGTTTAACACCCAGGCATCCATGAAAACAGAATTCATTAAATTTAACAAAGTTAGAAATTAGCAGGAAGTTAGCTTGCTAGCTTCCACCTAAACATGTTCTGACTGAGAGATTTCTGAAAAAATTTAAATGTACAGCTCTGCTATCACTTCCAACATAAATGAAGACAGAAAACTAAACAGCAGTGACTTTTGTAGGGTTACTGAAGTTGGGCTAGCTGGTATATAATGATGTGCTACATGATCGCTAGCAACACAGCTATGTTAGCATAACATAAACAGTGAAGCTGGAGGATGAACGCTAATGCTTGTTTCGCTTAATGGGCGTTATAATTCGGTGTGCCTTATGTATGAAAACAGACCCGTTCATCAACAGTGTGCCTTATAATCCGGTGCATCTTATGGTCCGAAAAATACGGTAGCAGATAACTACGTCAACCTCATATTGCATCTCAACACACCAACAGGAAATAACTTTCCTTTGAGGAAAGAAAAGATGAGCTTTCGGGTTAACGTGTGATCACAAAGCCATTAAAAAAAAAAATGCAGAAGAGTATTACACATGTACTGTATATATATATATATATGTGTACACACACACACAGTGCCACAGAACAATAATCCAGACAGTTAAAGCTTATTACACTGCGACCTGCTGCTCACTGATGGCTGTTTCCCTCCAAGTCTAGTGTATTTACACGAGGCTGTAACTGCTTTCTAATCGTCACACAACCTTTAAATAAGGTGTAGCCGTAGGTGAAGCAGTTGAAATATCTCTGCGCTGCTATTTGTGTATTGCATGTTTGTATTGATGAGAAACCTTACTTGACAACCTTACTTGGCAGGGACACACGAGGACATGGCTCACAGTGAAAACTAAAACTAAGGCAAACGATTTTATTTTAATTAAAAATGTTAGTTTGTTTTCCCTTTTTACATAAATAGTTTTTTATACACACGGATGGACAAAAGACTTTCCGAATGGGGTTGATTGTATTTGATTCATCTCATTTGTCCCTCATAACATGAGACTTTTGTGCCCTCGGGGACTGCTTTATTGCGTACTGAGATATTTTTGAGTTAGCACATTCAGTCCTCTCTAATCTTTCTTTCCCTTTTCTTCTAAATTCACACAACCTCTTTGTTGGTTTCATTTATTAAAACTACATTCATAATTATTAGTACAACTTCATTAAAAGTTGCATATGGGACCACATCCAAGCTGAACTGTTTGCACCGTTGTGTATCTGCGTGGAAAAAAACCCACATTATTTACTTCCACGAAGGTCACGTCTCCCCTTGCACCATCACTTTGATCAACGGTGCAAAACGGCACCGCAACACTTCACTGCTCTGCCTATACAATTATGCAATCTGCCTATAGAGCAATCTATTACGACTGTAACTGAGTGGAGAAAATAACAACTGTGTAATCAAAGCCTCTAATGTGCTCTGCAAGTTGCTGTGATCCCAATTTAATTTATTTAATCAACAAACGAGACTTGATATTGCACTCGCAGCTTGGATTCCCGCGTGAGATTGCTCTGCATCCCGGGACGTTGTTTATTATTTTCCTTTAGTCATCACATTTAAGAGAACAAGAAGAGATGATGGGCTTTGTACTTCAGCACATCAGATAAGCCGATCTCAATGAATGAAGTGTTTCCCACACATGCTGTAGGTGTGGCGATACCATACAAAGAACATAATGAATAAACTAAGAATCAAATCAATACTTCATACTGAGCAGCCGAAAATGAAGCTTCCTCGTGATGTTGCGACTGCAGTGACATGGAAGCATCTTTCGGATAGAGGAGATCACTTTTAACCTACCTTAACAATGTCTTCATTTGAGGACTTGCACTGCACGAAAGCCGAGACGTCAGTGACTGCCCCGTTCATCTCAATCGAGACCATTTTGACAGGAATGGCCACAGTGCGTCCGGTCAGAATGGCCGTGTTGATAATCTCGGTGTCCTACGGAGACAAAAAATAGACATGGCATTCACGAAACAGTGAGAGGCAGAGAGTGATTTTCCTTGATATTTCATCAGTATTACTCATGTCCACATTTAAAGCCATTACCATCAGGGCTCCTGTGCCTACTAGGTGATACTCTCAGTGGCGGAGCAGAACTCATTACTCTATACTGAGACGTCTTTCATTGGATTTCATCAACTGACATTTTTATTTCTGCACACTTTTCTTCCAAATGGGGATGAAATGGACAGAAAAGTAATAACCACCTCTTTCCCCCCCCCAATTCTGTAGAACCTCAAGTAAAAAATTCAGACAAACAAGACATTTACTGTACTGATGCACTGTGACGGACCTAACCTTTATGCAATTCTAGCTGGAACACACAAGTCTAAGGCACACTTGGATGCGTCACTGAAATCCTAATTATTCTGGAAAAAGCGAGAGAAAGTGCTGCTGTCAGTGTGAGATTTCAGAGCAATGTGTTAAAATAGCTTTTAATGGGAGGACGTATGACAGAAAAGCTCATTTATTCAGGCCTAATGCATCCATTTTTGTTCATTCGTTGTCCATTCAACAGGCTACATGATTATTCTAGTTTGAATCAACAGCCATGCGGGTAAAGGAGAGAAAGTATAGGGTAATTAGAATTTGAATCAGCATAGGGCGCGAAGGGAAATGTACTGACAATGTCTCAGTTGCCCATATTATCAAAAATCTGTCAACCGTAGTCGAACTGCTGGGATGGTGTTTGATTTGGTCATAAACAACAAATACACAAAGACAAAAAATAGGAAAATGATACATGAAAGAAATCTTTAATGTTTCCTTTCTTTGACTGATACAGCTGCAAATCTGTGCCATGATTCCATAGGTTTTATTCAGCTGCCTCTTCTCTGGTGCACACAGGAAAAATGTAGAAAGCAGAAAGGGAAAGGAGTGGGCGGCTTTATATTAAGGCATTTCTTTCACACACGTTGGACACTCTTATTCAAGTTTAGAAGTGTTGTTGCTAGTTTGCTGTCTAATTAGTTAACGTCTCTCTTGTTTTCATGCACCCTCAAAAAAATGAACATAAGTGCTAGAGAAAAAAACCCCAAACATCATCCCAGAACATGAGCAGAAATCTCGCTGGAACACATGTGAGCACACAAGCAGTTCTTAAATTAATCATAAAATGAATTCATGCCTTAGATAGGCGCAACCAGAGATAAAATCAGTCTGCTATCAGACAGAATTGTCAACTCATTACACTCTGACTCGCAGATCTAGACCAAGGCAAACACAAAAGAGGACAGAAGTAAGAATTAAAAGGAAGTCATTCCTGTGTGTCTGCTGGCTCATTTTTAATCAAAACCGAAAATGTTTGAAATTAATACAACTCGCGACAGCCTCACTGTCACTTTTTATGGGGCATGATTTTTTTTTGTCTTCTTTTACATTAGTAAGGACATTTCCACTTTAAATCAGAGCAGAAACAGTACAAATCTGTGCATAAAAATATACCCGATAACTTTCATTTCCTGAGGGAAGACCAGAGCCCCCTGCATAATACCAGCCCGCTCAAAAATAGTGGAAATGGGCGTTAATTTGCATTTACTGTTAACAAATTTCATCTTTAGAATTTGTGCTTCATTTGGATGAGAGCTTGACTAGTATTCACAGCGTCCTTATTTGGGTTTCAGACTAACAAATAAACTTCTGCAGTCTTGACTATTGACAGCTAAGACTGCAAAAGAGCAAGGTACTTTAGTCTCTACGAAATAGGATTTGCAAGCGCATATATATATAGTATCATTTCTTTAACAGTGAGCGTTTCCATCAAAGTTCAATCATGAATCATTGATGTAGCAAAAAAAGAACAAGTACAGAACTTTCAAGAACTTTCTTGACTAGAGTTAGAAAACAGAGTAACTTCACTGAGTGCTACCTGATAGAAAACCCTTTTGCTTTTTGCCAATTTTATTAACCAAAAAAGAGAAACTGCCAAACGACCGGCATTGCTCTGAGAGAAACTGCTTTGTTAATGCCAGAGGACAGGGGAGAATGGCCAGCAGCAGTAACTCCAATTACCACTCCTTACATCCAAGGTATGCAGAGGAGCACCTCTGAATGCACAAAATGTCTTAGTCGATGGACTAGAGTAGCAGAAGACCACACTGTGTACAGCTCCTGTCAGCTAAAACACGAAACTGAGGCTACATTTACATCACCTCACCAAACTTGGACAATATAAGATTATCTTGGAGCACTTTGAGCCCCTGATGTTCAGGTTATATAAGCATCATACACCACAGCCTACCCAAATTTGCTGCAGACCAAGTTCATCCCTTTATACCTACAGCACACTCAACCCATGTCACATAGCTCAAATCATCATTGGCTGCCCTTCAAAAACAGAAGGTTTGAACAGCCAGTGGGTGAGATGTAGCTCACAGAGATAACCATATTAAAGATATGCCTTCACTATAGCATCATAACAGATTCATGAGTGGAGCTTAAAGAAAAGCTTTTATTTCTGTTCTTTTATATTTAAAGAAAAGTCTATTAGGTCCTCTTTGACCTCTATTATAAATCTATATTAGTTTCTTGCTAGTACCTTATTCCTTGTATCTGTATTATCCACATGCATTTATATCCTTTTAAAATGATCTGAACCATTAGGGGAACAGCATGCTTTTTAGCAGTTGTATTAACCAAAAATATGTTCTCATCCCAGTAAAACCCCATGATTAAACAATCTATTTCAAAGACCCTTTGTTTGGAATAATAAAAAAAAATGTGTTCAACAAATTCTAGCATTAGAACTGATTTGTTTTTGTTATTGAAGTTAAGGCATCAGGCAGGAAAAGCAGCCTTTTTTTATTAGCTTAGAGTGTGGGGCCAATTTATGGGAAGCAAAGCACACCAGACCACCTTGGATAACTGACTGGACTCTAGGGGACAATCCTAATTGAAAGACATCCTCCCTAAGCTCTCCTTGCTGTTCCAGCATCTGGTAAATATTACAAAACACGAGACACTTTACCAGTAAATGTGTGCTGCAATGGGATCTCTAATTATACTTACCTAAATTCAAGAGAGAACAACGATCAGTCATCAGTTTGCTCGGCTATCGTTTCACTTATTTATCAAGTTCTTCAGGAAGCAGTGAAACCGTTTTTTAAATACACCACGGCAAACATTAAAAATGCTGTTGTCATCTTACTGAACACAAGTGGATTAGTTTTGTGACTTTAAAAGCACAAAACTACAACTCAAACTGGCGCACCCGACATCATTAGGCCCAGGTAAAAAAATATCAACTGGGCTAAAGAGGATATCTCTAAAAACGTCATCCGAGAACTGTAGCTCTGCCTGTATCAAATCAAGACCACGTGCTGCTTGTGAGGGGCAACCTTACTTTTAAAGTTTGAAATAATATGGCGCCCGGTTATTTAAACGAACTCCTCAACATGTATGACCCCAAAAGAGCACCGAGATTGTCTCTTAGCACAACCAAGGTCTCGATTGAAGCGTAGAGGAGAGCAGGCCTTCGCAGTAGCAGCACCCAGACTCTGGAATAATCTGCCAGATTAGATTCCTACTTCAGAGTCTATTCAGTCTTTTAAATCACGTCTTAAAACTCACTTTTTAATTTGGCTTTTAATTCGAGTTCAGTATGAGAACCATCAGGCATGTTTTATTTATTTTTTTAAATTGTTAATTCATTGTCTTCTCATTTATCTGTATTTGTTTCTAATTTATCTATATTTGTTTCTCTGGTGTTTTTTCTTGTTTTTAACTGATTGTGAAGCACTTTGGTCAACTGTACAAATAAATTTTGAATTGAATTGAACCAACCAGAAGACAGATCTGGCATCATGCAACTTTGAATCATGCATATCTATTCCAGTAGAATCCAACAATAAGATTGTCAACTTGGAAATAAGCATAACAGGTCCCCTGTTAGTGAACGTTTCCCAATTTAACCAAATAAATCAAGAAAAATAACCTTTTTTTTAAAAAAAAAAGAATTCTGTAATATTTAGTTTTACAATTTTATAACTTTATAAAATGTGTTCTGTTTGAGACGATTGTGTGTTTATGTGTGTGTATGTAATGTCAGTTTCCTCTAAGTTGTGATTACAGACGTTGTACAACCCATTTCTACACATCTTAGTTGCAAATGCCCAGAGAGGTCTGGGTTTGTGGAATAATGAGGCGAGTTTACTTTGCGTGTGAGTCCACAAAAAATGCTCAACTATTACCATCTCTAGCTGCCTTTGAATAATGTAAGCAAATACTTTTTGCCAGATGTGTGTCTTTATAAATGCACAAGCGTATACATTTGAAAATAACACATGACTTGAAGCTCTAGAGTTTGTGCAACACAAAACATCATTTTTTATTTAACATCTGGTCGATGCTGTGGCAGAGAGCAGCTAATGGAAGAGGGAATCTGGCATAACTGTTACTCCCTCCTCTGCATCGTCCTGCCAGTTCTCGCTCTTAAAAAAAAAGTCATGTGAAAGAGGGCTTTAGTGGTTTGGTGTTAATAGCGGCTCAAAATGTGCAATAAGCCCCGGGGTTGATTTAACCTTACCACCCTGGAATTGTTTCACTTTTGACACTTTAAATTCACCAGTAATTCCTCCCCCTTCCTCCTCTCATCGGCAGCGGGTGAGCTGTAGTTAGCACACAACCCGGGGACGTCCACCTCTCTGTGAGACGCTCTTCTTCATTCTTCGTCCTTGCTGTTCTCGCTCCTCGTTCGCTGTTCGTGACTCCACTCTAGACATTCATCTCTGTCGCTTTGTGACACAAGAAGCATCATTTTTGTATTTTAGGGACAGAACCGCCTCCCGCCTCTGTATATCCACAGTTTCACAAAGAGCCGATTTGTTCTACAGGCTATAAGTGGGTGTTTGCCACCAGCTGAAAAGTGCTAGTGGATCTGCATCTGTGGCGAAGCTTAAAATGAGTACAGGAAAATGAAGAAGATGAAGAAAGATGTGCAATATCAGAGTCAGACTCTTGTTATATCATTAGAGTTGTTTTTCTTTGACCATTGTACTCTTAACATAATTAGTTTCCGCTCTAAATATTTTAGTACCTTGACCTGGGCAACAAAGAGATGCTAATAAAAAAGCCCTTGGGACACATTGGTTGAACTGATAAATATGCAGCGGTGTTCATGTTTGTTGCGATAGTTACTCTGCAATCTGGTCATAAAATCATCCTGTTTATACTTTGTTGCTAGACGATGTTCCTGTTAAGGGCTGGAGAAACATGCACCTGCTGCAGGGTCAGATCGGTGCTGAGAATTCAACGTTCATAACCATCACCATCAATCAGTCATAGCCAGCAAATTACTCATGTCCCCCCCAAATAACCACAGCGACTTTGAAAACACAAACAATCACCACTATGTGGAACTAGCGGCAAATAAAAAGTTTCATGAAAACTTGCCTCAACTTCTTTTATGGTGTCCTGTTCCTGAACTTCTGCCAGTGCACTTTTGCACCACTTGCAGTATTCTGCATTATGATGCATGCTGGATCTCTTCCATTGTGTCGAAATGGGAGCTATTTAGCCTTAGCATAATTTTGGGTAAGAAAGCAAAGCTGCAGCAATGGGGCAGGTTGCCCCAAAGCTGAGGTCGTTATCACAGATGTGACGGTTCGACCCTTTAAAGATGAAAAAAAAAATGCTTCTGCTTTCACTCTTGACCTAATGTGACGGCTTCGGGCTTGGACACTGCAGTCTCTGCTAGTGGCATGTGCTGTTTGGTCTCTGGGTCATAGCAGGAGACCCAACTCTCATCACCGGTAATGATCCTCGACATGAAGGTTGTGTCAGTTTGACACAGAAGTTGATGTTTGCTTTCAGCACAAGTTTGATGTCCATGGTGAAATCACGCAATCACGTGAGTGGTGAGAACAGGACCTCTACAGAGTTGTCTAAACACGGCTGGAAGAGGAGCTGGAAGCCTCTCTGTGCTGCCTGAGGGGGAGACCTTCAAGGGGAGAGGAGCTAAACTTAAGCTACTTAAGAATCTGCGACGATCAGTTGGACTTCTCCTTTTGCTCTGATAGACCCACCTGTTTTCAGTTTGCATAGTTTCTATCATCGGTTCTGAAAGTGTGTTATATTTCTATCTGGACCAGAAGGGTCATCACTCTCACTCTTTGATATGAAAAAAAAGCCTATCTACAAGATACTCTCCTTTTTCAAGGTGACCATATTGGATCCTGACATCTGGAAATAGTAAATGTTGCCTGCTAATAATTGTTTTTTAGGTTTAGGCTAAAACCTAAAAAACAAGCAATCCTTGATAGACTAATTGGAAGCACTCTAAATTCCACTGATGTGAAAACGTTTTAAATTGATCAAGCCTGACTGGTCTCATTGTGCAATTTGTTACAGATCATTTTCTTCATTTTAGTTTGAAAACACAAGCAGGGAAGTATTTTTAGCGATGGCCATGAAATTCCACAACAACTAAAATAGTAAAATGACAAGAATGCTTCCTTTTAGTATTTACATGATGGCTGCGCTTAGCAACTGCAACTGAAAGCCATTACAATAAACAATTCGACCAAGTGAGGAGAGAGTAGAGGTGGCAAATTCTTCCATGCAGCCTGGTTTGGATTGCACATTTTACAGGGCAAAGCCATATAGGCAGAAATCTATTTCTGCAATGCAGCGAAACACATCTGGGTGCAAGATGCATGCTAATCCCAAATATCAAGGAGCCCAGAGATATTAAGCGAACCTTATGTTGCAACAGATGTGAAGCACACAAAGTCATAACTGCAGCTCAAGTATATTTAATGGAGCTTTAGATGCAGAACTGTTGTAATTATGCAAATATATAACAGATAACCAAGAGCTGTTATTAGAAGCACAAAGCCTCAGGAGTTGTCAGTGTAGAGCTCCTTCTTATGTCTTAAAATATTTTTAAAAGCATATTTTCTGTATTGTAAGAGAAAACATTAGCTAACGTTGTACTGGTGGAACAGCTTAACATTTGAAAAAGGGTTGATGGCCTTCGCTCCTATGAATATGCAAACATCCTCAGAAAAAAGCTTTGAGCAATTCTTAGACATTTACTGCTCCACGCAGTCTGCTGTATTATGCGCCATGAACAAATACGGTTTCATTACTGGCAAAATAGCGGATTTCAATACGCTAAACAACTCCGCCAAAACCACAAGAGAGTTAAGTACAAAGGCAGGTGTAGCTGGATGTTCTCAGCACTGCTTCCTGGTCAACTGTCGGCTGGCTGACTCTTGCCTCTTTGTCTTGTCAAACATCTATTTTTAGCTTTAACGCTTAATAACTGCCGGTAGCTCATCTTCAAAAGGGAACATAAGGAGTCATGAAGATGAAGTAGCTGACACTTTGATGATCGCGTCTCCAGAACGAGAGAGTAATGGAGTATCACTTGGACTGGTCGGCTCTGAACAATCAGTAAGTCGCTGCAGACGGTGTAGGTGTTGATTGGATGTATGTGCAATGGCAAGCTGTCTGTGTGCAGAATGCTCTGCACACATTGTATACTGAAACTAGACCTGCTGAAGAATGACTGTGTGCTGATTAAAAGGAAAAATAATATTAAAAAAATATAAAATATTAAAAATTAAGTCAGGTTTGCAAGGAAGTAGAAAGTGAATGGCTATTAGACTTTTCAGAAATACGTAAAAATCTTGTACTGTACGGTTACTTGCTACTGTTAAATGACTAATCTCGCAAAAAAATTGCTAGAAAAACACAGGAAATGTACAGTAATGTAACATTTTATATAAACAAAACTGAATACTGTAACTGTTTGCATTCCAAAGTGTAGATTATTCTATTCTACACATTCTCTTCCTGTTTAAATAAATCACTGCAGTCCCGTAAAATACTGGTGACTGTAACAGCCGATATTTTAGTGTTATTTAACAGTAACAAAGTGAAACATCTGTTTTGTGTGCCAGTACTTAGAAATAGGTATCAAGTATTTACAAAAATATCTAGAGTATAATGTATTTCTCATTTGCAATATAACAGACTGGCTCTTATTTACCAAAGCTGTGTTTCTTTCCACTGTATTTAGAGTTTAGTTGTAGTAGAAATGAGTCCCTGTTATTCAGAGCCTTACATAAGCATGTTGCAGCACTAACACATTGTCAGAGTTATATTCCACAAGGGTACTGAGCTTTTAAAGAAACCAACCAGTGTATTATTCTGCTTCTGTGGAAGTCACACAATGGCTAATGTAATAGTCCACACAGAATTTGGCTCATAATATCAGACCTAGTGATGGTTTTACTAGAAAAATATTTTGTGACCACATAATATGTGTTATATTTCAAAGGCTTAAGGCAGAAACCTTCACTAACAGCTTAACTATAAATTACTTAATTGATCAGCATTTGAAATTAAATAATATTGAGTAAAATAAAATGAATATGAATTTTAAAAAATTACATCCATATGAATTTGTCATTACTCACCATGGCCAGAGGGATGATGGCCTGAATGTCCCGCTGCACTACCGTCAGTTCTGTCACGACTTTCTCTGAATCAGGTGGCGGGTTTTGTCCCTTATAATCAATGTTCCAGTTGATCCTTCTGGTTACCGAGAGGCTGGTGAAGTTCTCCATCTCAAAGTCCAGCTGCATCACCTCGACATTGCCCACAACATCCCTGCCAGACCGCAAGGAGACAGCCATCAAACAGAGCCCAGCGTAAATGTCAAACACTACTCATAGCAACATATTCATTCAAACGCAGGAGAGTGTACATAAGCAGACATTCTGGCAGCATATTCGTTTTCAGTGATGAAATTGTTGACTAGATAGTGCTTAATTATTAAAAATGTCATTTAGTGTGTGGTTGACACACTGCTTTTAATTTATTTTTAACGCTGTCCCCGAGTTACCCTTGAGTTGAAACGAAGAAATAATGCATTCATTAAGACTTCAGCGTGAGAAACACTGCAGCCAAGAGCTTTAGAGCTGAATAGATACTTCTCAGATGGCGCAGTTTCAGTATTTGTTCTTCACTCAAAGCGATTCTACATTTACATATCTGTAAGTAGAACTTTTTGTAGACCTTCAATAGAACACCATATATATAAGTTCTGCATATAATCATATACATAAGCAGGTGATCACCTCCAAAATAAGGCCGTAACTTTTTCTCTCTTGAATAGAAAGGAACTGTTTGAAGATTGATCACAGTTTTGTTGTTGGATCAGTGAGTCAATGGCCACAAAGCTGCCCTGGACAAGACCTCTGATTAAAATCTTGGCTCTAGGATTTGGTTTTTGCTCTAGTCAAATCAATGTCGCGCATTCAGCAGAGCTCAGGAGTTGTCAGCCATAGTCGATGATGACAACTCCCTATTGCAACTTTTCATTCAGTCGGCGGGATCATAAACAGCTCCTTCACTGTCTTCATCAGATTTCCTGACAGATACAAGGTAGATAACAATGCTATTGAATCTTAAAGGTCATAGGAGCAGACTGAAACATGAGTTTAGATTGGGTCATTATTCCACCCCGTTCTGCTCATGCAAACCAGCAGAATGCTAATATTGCTGGCTCACTCTACCGTCTGTTTAGGGATATCCAGATATCAGGTTTTTATTTTTACTTGGCAAGTAAATTACAATGTAAATTGTAGTATTTATAACAGCAATAATCTGACAAAATGATATAAAAATGTATATTTTCAAATGTAGCAAACATTTACTAGGAATATACCGATTACAGCAAAAAACACATGTAGAAAAGCAGTCATATAAAATAATCAGGATACACTTTTAGAACAGAGAGAGAGAGAGATACTTTTATATGTTTTTATATCAAAACATCAAGTACAAGTATCCAAAAACTTCAATTCAATTTCATTTATACAGCGCCAAATCACAGTAACAGTCGCCTCAAGGTGCTTTATATTGTAAGGTAGATCCTACAATAATAGATAGAGAAAAACCCAACAATCATATGACCCTCTATGAGCAAGCACTTTGGCGACAGTGGGAAAGAAAAACTCCTTTTTAACAGGAAGAAACCACTGGCAGAACCAGGCTCAGGTAGGGGGCGGGGCCACCTGCTGCGACCGGTTCAAACTGATCTTCAGCTCACAGTGTTTCAGCTGGTGTTCTGGATCCACCCAGTTTCTGACTGGCACTTATTTTTCAGTATTTAACTGCATCTCCTTTTAATTTTCTCCCTTTCTCAACCAGCACTACTTTGGCCGCCTTGCAGAGAGAAAGGGAGGATGTTGCATGTTGTTGCTGTTGTGTGAATTTGTGTTTTTATGCTAATTGTTTTGTTTTTCTTACTAACTTTAAGTTTAGATTTAAGAAACACGCACTCAGTCACAAATTTCTTTGGTTTCTTGGAAAATTAAAGCACTTTCTAACGGTAACATTTCAGACACGACAGCAGTATTTCTCGAGGTCTCGCACTGGAACTTAACACATATCCCAGCCATCAGCAGACAGCGTGCTGAAATTTTCTCATTTTAACTAATGATATGGTTACATTTTGAAAAATAAGGAACTATCTTAAAGGCAGGGAACAAAATAATTGGCATGTACTGTAATTACAGTGCACAGTTAAAGAAAAAACCTGATATTAGATGTTTTTAAATGTTCCTATATCCTTTACTTATATATGAGTGTCAAAGGGGGCATTATTGAGAAATAATAGTTTTCTAATGGTTTTCCTACTCACTTTATTAAGTTATCATATACAACGACTTATTCAGGGATTGACTTTAAATGAAACAGAGAGAAGGGTCTTGTCAATAACCAATCACTGCTCCCTAATCTTGCCAGCTTTCTCCTTCTATCCAAAGGTCTCAGTGTTGAGTCTGTGCAAGGAGATTGCAAATTCTGTTCTGCCTCTCACTTTGGAATAGACGTCATTAAATGGGCTGCAGATTTGCTTCTAACCGATCAATCGCTATTGGTAGGTAACCTGATTGTTCTCATGGCCATGCACACAAACTATCTGAGCACCATCACCCTTTGTGCCTCCATCTACCAGAAACTTTTGCTTATCTTTTTACTATCACAACCACGTCAACGATTCAAGACCCACAGCGGCCTTCTTATTATGAAAATTCTACATGTTGGGCTTGTAATCCTCAGGTTCAACAAGCCTAACATTAAACAATCTCGCTGGTGGTGAAGAGGCAAATTAATTCTCTTTCCAGCTGCTGCGAGAATCATCCCACCCAAGCCTCACCTTTAGCGAAAACTGAAACAGTAGCTATCTGTCCTTCACAAAAAGCAGAAAGCCATCCCAGCATTCAAGCTGAGAGGCTTTTAATGAAAGCTGGATCAAACTCCATGTACAACCGTCCGCCCACAAAAGGTTCCTCTCAGGAACACCGAGATGAGATCTCAGCCTATTTGTCTCGACATCACTCAGTGAAAACAAACACCTCCGTCTGTCTGTGACACACTCAAACTGTCATCAATACAGCCCACTAGAGTGAGTGCGGGTACAGCCGCTCAATACTATGTTGCCTGCCACCATGCTGGAGGGAAGGAAAATGGTGTTCACAATACAGTGGTTTAGGTTAGAGGGCATACTTCTTTTTTATGAGAGTGAACTGCAAAATATGAAACTGTAGCTGAGAGCTGCAGAAGAAAAGCTCGGATTTTTTGACTCAAAGGAGCTGTAGATTCACTTGACATTATGACATTAGTTTTTAGATCTGAATCCACAGAGCAGATCTGAGGAATTATGGCACTGCTATCTGTTACCACATGGCTTAACATGGCCTCTCTGCCTCCTTACATTGCTGTTATCTGCATCGTGACTCCACAGAACAACTCCAGAGTATGAAATTAATGTTTCACTTTAGAGTTTTGTCTTGCCAGTTAATGCCACTTCATTTTCTGCTTGGCTGTATTACAGACAGAAAAATAATCTTAAAAGCAAAGAAATGCACAGTCAGCTCAGTCAAATCACAGCCAAGGTCTGGTTCAAATCCACGGGCCACCTGGGGTGTTTCTGTGTGGAGTTTGCAGGTTCTCCCTGTGCCTGCATGGCTTCTCTCCGGGTCCTCTGGATTCTTCCCACAGTCCAAGCACATGCACGTTAGGTTAACTGCTGATTTGAAATTGCCCATAGGTGTGAATGTTGTCTGTCTCTATGTGTTGGCCCTGTGATAGACTGTGGACCTGTCCAGGTGTTTACCCTGCTTCTCACCCGGTGGCACCTGAATGACCCTGAATTAGATAAGTGGAAGAAAATCAATGAACAGGTATCAGCTCTAGTGTGTTTTGGTACACATTTTCTACAACAATCGGCTTCATCCGATGAATGTCCCCGTGTGCGTTAGCTACTTTTCCTGCACGACAGACCCACTCATGTGACTTTTTCTCCCGTTTACAATTTTCCGATGGTTCACTTTGAAATGTCAGTGCTGTCACTGTCCTGCATTGATGCCCTGATTTCCCATTGCTGTAACCCGTCCACCACAACAACATACACCTAATTATATTAGCCCTAATTAATTCTCCTGCTGAACTAAATCAAACCAGACTCGTCCAACTCACTGTGTATGTGTAGTGTACCTCATTAGATAACACTTTTTAACAATTTTAATTGGGATCCAAATCAGTGTGTGTGTTTTTCACCAAATGAGGCCATTCTGTGGAGGAACCTAGCATTTACATTTTAGGAGACAAACTCCAGCTGTAGACGATCACAAATACCTGCGAATCATAGTTAAACTTTAATTTGAGTCTTAAATTTTAAAACGTTTTATTATTACATTTATTCTGGCTGACTCTATATAGAAACAAAACGACATGTCCACACATCTCCCATATTCATTATTATATTACAACATGGTCTAAATGGTTTAAACCTGTTACAGTTTTTATAAAAAAAAGAACTTTAAAAGGTTTTCAATAAATAACCATCGTCATTTTTTTATTTTACAGGCGCGGAGATTACTCCGTTTTTTGCTAAACATACTGCCTTATTTCTGATATTATAGACAATACATACAACATTTAAATGCCCTTTATAGATATGGTTGTATTAATCAGTTATCAGTTCTGTGGGCACCGAGATGATTTTGTCCTCCTGTTGCCATCGTTGGTATGTTGTTGTTGTTTTTTTAAATATGTGTAATGTTGTATGTTAATATGATAAATCCATTTTTTTATTTTGCTTTTATTATCCAGCCAGGAAATACTGATGAGTTACAGGTCTGTTACTAATGTACAGTGTGCCCATTAAAAACAGACAAATAAATACATACATAAAAGGAAAAATGAGAAACTAATAGTAATAATAGTTACACTAATAATTAAGCTAGTTGTTTTTCTAGTTTTTAAACCAGCATCTATACAAAACAAAAGCTAAAGGCATAAAAAAATATTAATGTGGTATTATGTTATATGTTATAAGTGCTTAATTCATCATTTATATATCATTCCTCCTCCTTAGTGTCATTTATAAATACAGGTATGTTTATCCATCTGTTAATGTTACACCATGTACAGCTACCGCTGCCGCTACATCATCTTAACAGTAATCACAAAAACATTGTCATAATAATATCTGTATTATTAATAGAATACTAAGGAGGAGTAATGCTGTATAAATGATGACTTAAGCACTTACTAATGACTTAATGATGCTTAATGGTGTAAAATTATTATAAAGTGCT